TGAGCTAAAAAGATGACGAAAACAAACAGTGATCGATCAATAAATCTAATTAGCAAGAAATGTAGATGTTTCATTGCCGCAATTACATAATACCTAGGCAAAAGTATCGAGGAAAACATTTTCATCACATTTAGAATTTTCATATTAAGTGTTTAAAAAAATCCTAATTCGTGTGGTGCTTAAGCAAATTTGCTTTCCGGTAGTACTGTGAAAACTGTCTAATCCGACACCTGTGCAATCCGTTTCGCTGCAAATTCTGACCTTTATTTTCATTCCCATTTTACTTTTTTCCATATTTTTCACACTTGTGTTTTCCGACACCCTGTCTATTTCGACACAAAGTTTGTCCCCCAGTATATTTCGGATAAGACAGGTTTCACTGTAGTTTAGGGTTTTCCGAGCTCCAATCTTGGTCTTCTTTGTATAGCCATATTTATTCTGTTTATTTGTGTGGTGTCATATCTATAACTAATGAAAATTTCAAATTGTATGACAAATGAGGTGACTTCAGCTTCTACATTCTCAACTTTCCTTACTTATGAAGTAATATTCTGCTATAACCTGTATATGGTGTTTACGTCTCCAAACCCATTCGATGCCGAAGAGCATGCTCAGAATATAATCAATTTTTAAACCGAATCAAGCTACTGACAGAGAAGTTAATGTAGCAGAGAATTCAACAACCTCGTTTAAGTCACCATTTCGTAAATTTTATGGTCATTATAATGTCGTTGTCAACAAATATATGTATCCTTGGTTTGTATTTTGGCTGACTCTTTTTCTTAGCAATTGTTAGGTTTTGTTTTTATACTTACAGTGTGATTTGTTAACGAAATGTCCCGTCTATACATAGGGATCACGGCTGGTGAGACCTGTCAACAGTGGATGCTTACTCCTCCTAGGTATAGGCATCTGATCCCACCTCTGGAATTTCCAGGGGTCCGTGTTTTTTGCACTGTTAACAGATTTGTATTGTTTGTACATTTTTCGAGATCACTGTTTTTTATCTTCACCTTTTTCGTTTTAACCATCAAACATGTATCTCTGCTGGAGGACAGTCTGTCCTCGCGGATACTTGTCGCTTGGTATATATTCTTCTATGGATATTGCAAAGAAAAACGATTCAATACTGGCTGACCTCGCGCCCAGTATAAAAAGATGTCAATCTGTTGAGCCTATAAGGGGCACAGGCTTGGCAGAATGGTTGGTGCCCCTCGGATTCTCTTTCGGGGCATGAACAATACATCATATATGCAGTCAGCAGATAACCAGTTTTTGTATATAACAAACCAAACCTTTACTCAAATTAAAGATTGCAATGTTTCAATCAGATATATTTTTGACAATTATTTTTCGGATCCCATGTGTTTTATTTCCAAATTTTCTACTAAAAAAGTGCAAAATTTGATATTCTGATAACCAATACTTCGTTTTATAGGAATCAAACTGGACAAAGATTTTATGCTAAAGTTGGTGAAAACTTACTTTCAAAACTTCAAACGTTGTCTATAAAATTGAATGTACTCTTTGCGGACTGAATTATATTGGGGAAACAAGGGTTCATTCCATAAGAGAATGTCGGGGCATATTTTTGAAATATATAATTAGCATCTTTAAAAATATTTCAATTTGCATGATCACTTTATTCTGTCAATGAGGGAGAGAATTTTGAAGAAAACATATATCATTCAACTTACAGTCCCACATTAAGTACTCCATTCCGTAGACAACGAGAAGAATCTGGATCAGGAAACTAGGCACGGCCTTCCCATGTGGTTGCAACGACCACATAAATAATGTAGGGAATCTTTCAAGCCCACAATGTATAAAAACGAATGTGATGGGACTTTCCAACAATTCACCTAGACGTAGGCGTAGTCATGGACATCGATCGTATAATTAGACCTTATTTACATGATGTCTCTTTTGATTCACGTTTGCCTTATATCACGTTTTGGTTTTAAGTATATTCATGCATATAAATTTACTGCCACCAATTGAAACTTGTAATTTTACATAAACCTGGCACCTATTAGGCACGTTACAATGACTGGGTTCAAAGGTGACTATTTATTAATAAAAAACAGAAGTATATAAAAACAGTTTATATAAATATTTATCATAGCTTCAAAGACAATGAATAAGTTTCAATAAATATTATAGGAAAACTGGCGATCTTCCACTGAGCTTGGAATGGATCAATGCTTCTCGGTATTACGTAGTTATGTTAAGGACTCCCGTACTTACATCAGCCTAAGCAGAGGTTCGGGAAAACAATTACGACCTCACGTTAAAACAGTTCAAATGAATTTCGATGTTTTCATACACACCAAAATACTTTTTTCCTCATACATAATGTAGAGATAAATCTATGTGCAACTTATCTTGCCTTATTAACACTATCCGAATGTAGAATGAATGCCAGCTTGATCTCGCTGCACTTACTAAGATGATGTTACTGACTTATCTCTGTACTTGAGGCGTGGATCAAGCTATTATCGTATCCTATAAATAAGAAAATGAAAATAAATCAAGCGTTATCTGCCTCAAATTGAGACATATTTTTCGATGTATTAATCAATATTTTATAGTCTAATTAAATTGAAAATGTATAGATCATACATAAAGCCGCAGTAAGGTTCACTTGTACAGTAACGTACTAGAATGACAGGCACACCCCCTGGAAAATCGCAAAGTTAACAATATCTGCTTCACTATAAATAATGAGTTTCTAAACACATGTAGCTATAATCCCTACTATTTTGAAAAGTGCTGGGAGCTAGTTGTGCGCTGTTGCTTTAATCCGTAATTTAACATTATTTCAATGCGTAGTACGTCCAAGTAAGAACTTTATCGAAAGACGCCTAAATTTTACATACTTCCCGTGCATGAGGAAGTTAATCCCAGCACTTTTCATGCCAAGGAATTTGTCTCGAAGAAAACATGATCAATTCCATAGCGAAAAGATATCCGTATATCGTTGAACTTTTACGAACTTAATAACCGTTCATAATTTTTTTCTGTCGAATTTTGAACTTGTCACGTGACAAACAGCTGATGCAATTGACGTCGCTTTGGCCGAACCCAGCAGAGACCCGATATATACAAATGCAATTATCAGAATTCCAATTCATCAAAACTCATGCTGATTAAAAAAAACACAATAACTGTATTCATATTCTCGGAATATTTCAAGGCGTCTTTCCCATGGGCGTCCTTAACGTAGATGCGTAGGTGCTTCTCGGAGTTCGGTGGTACTTCTCGGTTTCCGGAGCTACCTGTTCGGTGCTATATTGTGCTCCCAAGGATTGCCGCTCTTACTAAGTATTACTATACAGGCTCAATCTGGAACTTTGATGCTAGGATCAGAACTATATCTGAAATCCAAAATCATTCGATTTCTATATAAAAAAAAAAACCCAGACAAACAAATATTCCTTTGTACCAGATTTTGGAATCATGTTTACAGATGTGGAAATGTCAGTATGATATGCATATTACATTAGTTGTGCAAGTTTACGCGCAAAGTTAGAAAACTCCCTTTCATTTATTGGGAAATGGAAACTACGCGAGGAGGTAGTGTTTTGCTGATCACGATTCTTGTCACATATTTCTGGATGTTGCATTTGTGCATATCACATATGTCATGAACTCTATCCCGTGCACTATGATTGCATACCGACAGGATGCCTTTATTCTACTGGCTTTATGGTTGGAGTCATAGGTTGGGATTAGGGTGTATCTTAAGCGATCTTATCTTAAGCGATCTTATCAGTGTCGCCTTACCTCTCCAATTTAAGTGGATTTTCACGCGAGTATATATCGTAAATTCAAATATTTTTATGAGTTCAACCTTTTGTTGTTTGGGGACTAAAAACATGCTCTTCAGTTTCGATTAGGTTGGGAGATGTGAAATCCATATGTAGGTGATGGCGGAATATTACTTCATAAATAAGGAAAACTGACGATTGAAAAGCTGAGGTCATCTCGTTTGTTATACAATTTCGTTGTTAGTTGGCCGTTATCGTCTATAGTCAGTAAAACATCCAAATAAGGGAAGATTTGGCAGACTCTGGGGGGATTTTTATTTCAGGTTCACTTGGATATATCGAGTCCACATATGAATCGAAGTGACTGTTGTTAATTGATACATCGTCGTCCATTTATCTGAATGTCGAGTTGAAGGCAACAGCAAGTGATTTCTGCTTTTCATGTAGAAGTTTTTGAATACATTCTGCTTCTTAGGAATATAAAATTAGGTCGGCTAAAGAAGGAGCACAGTTAGTGTCTCTCGAAATTCTAAGAGTGTTTTGGAAGATTTGGTCTCCGAAGGCTACATAAATGCTGTCAATCAGGAACACCAGCATCCTTTTAATAACAACTTCAGAGTTCTTGTGTGTAGAATCAGAGCGATTTTAAACAATTACAAAATACGAAAATTTCCAAGTCCCATTTATATCGGAGAAGCAGTTGTTTATGATATCAAAATGCCTAGTTTTAATATATTACGAGGAATAGTCGTATAAAGTGAAGAAAAGTCGTACGTTTTGATGTTATCGACTTTAGTAAAAAAGACCTCCGATAAAGTGAAATACAAACTGTACATGTTGAACAACTAGAAGTGACATTATTTTTCTGCTTACAAACATTTTTACCTCCGCCCACAAGGTTTATAAGTTTTCCTTGGTGTCTGCTATTTTTCCGTCTGTTTGTCAAATGAAAATATTGAGAAAAGTGCATCTTAAGATTGGCGAGAATCGAAGAGATTTCTGCATACAAATGCTGAATTTTTATTTGCATTTTTATTTACTTTCATTAACTATTCACAATACTACAAAATCTACTTTTAAATAATCATTAAAGATTTGGATAATGTTCCTGGGGACAGGTCAAACTATCCATAGCACTAAAAATAAACATGTCAACTATTCAACTAGCAACAATATATTTTTTCATATATTTGACTTTATATATAAATCATTCTCAATTTCAAGGTTTACAATTATTTAACACACAACATTTGCAGGGTATTTTGATCACAATCTGGAGAGAGTTTATACCTATTAAACCCAAGAGTTTAAGCAACTTGTCAATAAATGTAACAGTCTATTGAACAATTGTTTAAGTCAATGATATTGTACAATTTCAGGTAATCCTTTAACGAAAGTGGGATAGGTAACTTGTCAACAGAAGGGAAAATTGTTGTATCTTTATTTAGTATCCGCAAGTGTTTCCTTATCATCGAACGACAACTGTGTTTTAAGCTAAGCGGTTCTTCCATAGTAAAGCCATATTCTTTCATTTTTATCTGGATATCCTGAGAATCTAGATCGTCATGTGTGTAGTGGTAACCGGCTGCAATGAATATGTGCAGCAATATATGAAAACCCACACATATACAGTCTCTTCTAAATCTATAACGATAGTGGTAATAATGGTCAGAAAATTGTAGCAATACGTCGCTGAGTTTATATTGGTCTGGATCAATACCGTGTTGTAGAAGTAAAACAACCGTATCACAGGAAAAGCACGGAGTAGGAATGCCCAGTGGATTTGGAGTTGCCTCGTAGACTTTTCCTCTCCTGAAAACGACAACGATATATTGCAGCACATATAATAAATACGTATTCTAATTTTCGCAATTAATAGATGTTGGTATACATTTTAGATTCTACTAGATATAATAACAAAAATAAATAAATATTGCTTAGATTCGCTTACAGTTTGGGTGTACTATTTTGTGTGAAACTATAATGACACTTGATAATAAGCTATAGTATATTATCCAAAGGTTTTTATTAGTAATCATGTCTGTCAGATCTTCATTCAACTGTAATTATTTGAATTATAATATTATTTTATAATAACCTAAGTCTAAATTAAACGATAATGCAACGCTAAATATCGTCAAAATCACTTGAAATTTATTTTTGCATCCACTTTTTTCTCACCCATAAAAGAAACAGTGACCCCAGCGAGTGGTGTTTAACTTTGCCCCGGCTGACAAGTACAGTTCGAGTATTCTTGTCATTGGCGACCATGTACGATCAGAAGTCGCTTGTAAATTTATTGAATACTTCGAAAGAATAATACTGTATCGCTCTATCTCTGGCTTTTGAAGACAAATACATTGCCTATATCCTTTATATTCGTTCACATCCGCACCTAATGAAGAAAATTTATGTTCATTTGTAAATAAAAACATTTATTTACAGTTATAATGATATATTATAATAAATCATTATAACTTTAAATAAATATTTCGATATATATTATGTTCGACTCTATTTAAGAACACCTAAAGAAAAACTTGTTTTAACAGTGTCACCCATATCCATATATACTTTTCTTGCACATATTTTCATTAATCCATGAGCTTTTCAATCTTACAACCATGGATACAACTTGTATTCTTAAAAGTGTTGCATATTAATTACATAATTAAGTTTACACTATACCGTGGAAGAAAAAATGCACATTGTTTGTTGAATTACTAACATCTCAAACCTGAATCTAACAATAGCTTTACGATGTCTGCATCCATTGCTCTTATAGCATAATACAAAGGTGGAACCGCCTCCTGCTGCTCATAACTCCGTACACGTAAATTAATGTCCGCCCCAACATCAATTAGCTTCTTAGCTAGCTTGAAATCTCCAGACCTGAAACAGAAAAGATAATTTTTTTTTCCAGTTCACACCTGTTATGTGCGAAAAAATCTCGAATCCCGTTATCCGAAACAACCTGAAGTTCCGTAGAGTCATGAATACCTCAATTATTTACTTTGCTTTTGAATAGTTGTCGTGCTTTTGACAATCATGTCATGTTAAGAAACTTCTCTACACCAAAGCATTTTTTTTTTTTGGACATTGGATATTATATTGTATAAAGAAATGAATGTCGAAGTTATATATTTCATTTTCAATATAGGTTGCCTTGCATTTACCCTCAGAAAAACTGTTTAAAGACAATTAAGTATTGATGAACAGAAATCACTGCTGTTTACATGAGTGGGGGAAATTCATGCAAATAAAGCCTTCAATTAATTTACCCTGGCCTATTCAGTTATAAGGAATACTTAATTGATTACAAATTAAGTAATACACTCTACATTTTAATTTCTTTATTTTAGATCTAAGGGCAGATCACTCTAACTGTATAGCAATACCACATAATTAAAACTCTTTAGTGTGCAGTGTATAGAGGGTCCTTAAAGTTGTATTTTCTTTGTAAAAGAAAGAGATTTATATCTGTCCGGCATATTTATCTTCAAATCGGCCATATCACTTTACATTCGCTTTAGTTCTTTATCTTTACATTTTCTCCCTTTAAAAAAAAAAATATTCTTTAATTGTTAAGCATTTGGTGTCCAATTACATACCACAATTATTCAAGGATTAACCCATTTATCCACCAGTCTCCTCAAATTTGACTCTAAAAATTCAGTTTATCTTTATCTTAAGACATTCTATCTTTTATTTCTTCACGTACTGAAAGTTTCGATTTGGTCCAATTATATCTCTCAACTTGAATACTTAGGAAATATTTTAAAGTTTGTAGACGGACTAGGGGAGCACATGCCTTATCAAAAGACATTGTAAAGCACCTTTATTATACATGTTTAATGAGATTGTTTGTGACAGTTTTGTCATAGATATAATGGTTTCTATAGACGTATCAACTAGACAACATTACCGGGGCATTTTTTTTATTACCCCCCCCCCCCAAAAAAACCCTGAGTCTTTATAAATTGAACACCTTGTTGTCATGAGGGTTATACTTTTATAGAATTTTAGAAGAAATGCTGTTGGAATCTCATATTTTACCAATAAATGGAGAGTCAAAATAAACAAAGGCAACACAAAGCGTGGTATCCCTTCGCAAAATAGCATATTTATCCGTTTGTCAATTATTACTTCCGTTACGCAATCACTCAAGCTAACATTCACAAGCGTGTTACTTACAAGGGGATAAATAACCGATACAATTTTATTTTAATTTCCACATTGAGAGATAAAAAGTTTTATGAAACTTACATGCAGGCAATGACAATGGGTGTATAGTCTACGTATTCCTTCTCTCTGGTGTCTATATATCCAAAGAAACCGTGAACCTGCGGTCCAACTTCAAGTTTAATAGTCTCATTGACAGAATTAGACTTCACTGCAAAATATGAAAAAACAATAATGTGAATTATTAAAAACCTTGTTTCCCCTCTTTTATGGGAATTAAATTAATAAGATATTTGTTGTAATGCACACCTTTTGGGTTGACAATTTTTCCATCACAACAAATACAACTTGGACAAAGACTGAAGACTAATGGAACTATTCTAAATTGTCACATATCTGTGGCTTTTTTCTTTGACCTCCCTTTTGTGATATATCCCATATTACATATATGATAAGACTTTCCACTATTCTCATGTATCACTTCACAAGACATTTATGGTGTTCTTTTTGTATTTCTTTTTTACAAACAATGTAAGAACAAAATGAACTAAAGAAAAAAATCAAGTAAATTATATTTATCAAGCGCTTTGCTTACAGCAAATGGTCCACATCATCGTGGAAATGTGTCAAGTTTTCCAAACTGATATAATCTGATTCCAGAACGTCTCATGTATTCCTTCACAACTTCTAAAAGAATTTATTTTTAACTCCTGACACACGCGTCATCAGATATGCTTACATCATAGTTAAGCGCTTTGATTTTAAACGATCATCCTGGTCGTTGAAATGCGTTATAATTTTCCAACTGGTATAGTACAATTCGATAACGACCAACCTATTCTAGTTAAGCTGAAATTGGAACAGGAATATAAGTATTTCATATATATGTTTCAATAATATTTGTAATGATAAACTGATTTTTTTACGGTGATAATGCAAGTTGCACACATTTTAAGTAATAAGAGGAGCTATTTTGATTATGATTTTATATAATACTTTTGGGAATCTTTCATATTAACTAAAACAATGTACATGCATTACCCAATTCCCATCACATTTAAAAGCAGGGATTTGTTAAATTTTTTTAGCAATTAAGAAAGAGGAACAAAAAGAGGTTGTTATTAAATGCGTGTATATATTACTTCAATTCGGGACTGTGTCACACAAAAGCATTACGTGTGAAAGGCTGTAAATTGTACAGCGATGAAAACAAAAATATAATAAACAACACTGAAAATTAAATAAAGAAATTAAAAATCCCATTCACTTTTCTTTTAACTTTTGCTGTACGCTTAAATTAACTTTTAAATTACTATTTTGAGACGTATTTATATTATTTGAGTAACAAAGGTTGATTTTATTTAGCCTGTTTAAAAGATACTCTTAGCTTGGAAATTTATGGTACAGGTTATTTACACTCTAGAATACTCAAGACTAATTCGGGAAATTGTCGTTTGTATGTACAAGTGAGGACATTGAATTTTTATCAAATTTGTTATGCAACTTTAAATGTGTCAAATATTATTTGATATGTAAATATTTCCACTGCATGATTCATACAATAAAAGTAACTGCCAATAGAAATATCTTGAAGTCAGTAATGATATAGCTGCAAATGCTTGCAAACATTAAAGAGAAAGGTTTTAATATTTATCCGTGTCTGTTATCATCTTTAATTCAAATTACAGGATGTATACCAGAATCAGAAAGGCAATAACATCGTTAGGTTGCGGAGACAGCCAGAAGCATTGACCCTGAGAAATTGAACATCAGACAGAAAAAAGAAATCACAACATATTTTTGGAGAAGATTCTGTGAATGTGGAAGCAGTTTTGGTGAAGGTGATGGTAAATTGTTTAGTTGTTTTAACTTTCCTCCATTGAAAACAATTTGTAGGTAATTCATTTTAACGCTAATTACCTGTATATGAATTAATTACATGTAATCTAACAGATGTTATACAATGTTGTTTTGTTTTCACATGAAATGTGTAGGATAAAAGCAATTGATTTTAAATTTAAGTTTGCATGAAAATATTTACTGGAGGGAAAAAATTAAGTTGAATATTTAAAATGTCAGTGTGTTTTCAAATCTACTTAAAGTTCTTCATGACTCGTTAGTCTCAACAACAAATGATGGCCAAACATCACCTTCAAAAACTCTTGCAAAAATTTAGCATGTTTTTTTTGTCCAAAAGATTGTCCCAAAACATGTGATGTCACTTGTATGTTATAAAAAATTTAGCTGAATAAAACTGATTATTAAATGATAATTATTGAAATACACAAGGTTGATATGTTAGGTGTAAAACCTAGCTCATGAAGGTCAAGAATATAAATAAAAAATTAAAAGATAAATCGATTATATACCCGAGTCCCATGCATAACGGACGAGGTCCTCCTTCCTTTTGCAAACAACTGGTCCTGTCGATATAAATTGCCCCATATCTAAATAGAAAAGATGGATTTTTTTATAGTTTTGGCTACATAGTAATGTAGTGTATGATATGAAAATATAATCTCTGACAGAAGATGAATTTCGCAGTGGGATATACAGGTATCTAAATTAAAGCAATACAATAGCAATTTTTTTCATACTCAAGTAGCGGAACACATATGTATATTTTTTTTAATCTGACATGGTGTCATGTCATTACTATATCAATCAATGTTGATATATCAAACTGTAGCGGATAGAGCTCAAAAGTCTTTAAAGTATTGAGATATTTAATGCCAAATAGGTGCACGGTCTATATATTTAAGTAGGCAATTTTTTAAACGTAGAATATTAACTTTATGTACTGAAGGAAGTACATTTTGAACGTATAGTTTTTAGTTTTGGTTCATTGTTTTGCACTCATGTTTAGATGCCAACAATTGCCAATGACACTTGCCAGGGCCTGAGAATTTCGGCATGTGCTTGGTATTTATAGATTGGGCAGCGAGGGTATTTGTCACGCCAGTATCCTAGGCAACAAAGACCTCAACGGATAGTTCTGGTCTCCTGGATTCGAACCCGCAACGATATTTTTCCAAAATTCATTTTAAATAATCAAAAAAGACATGTTTCCAAAGCCTGCAGGGGAATACGAGCCTTCGACGAAAGGAACAACGCCTTACTCGGTGACTATAGATGTAGGTTAGTCATTGGTTCTTACCACTGCGACACATGGGCGATTTGTTTTTGTTATAAGGAATAAATTCTCGTTATTTAACACGTTGTAAATATTTTAAATCTAATTTTTGATTGTTATTTCATTTATAATAACATCGGTAAATATATTCTTGATATATTCTTACTATCTATATATAGAGATATTTTAACATGAATTTAAAAACTTTCCCCCTCCCCGCCCTCTTCAATTGATTAACAGGATATATTAGGTTTTTATGTACAATAATATTTGTTGCGCTTTCCTCGAATAATTTTTAATCATTTAAAATAATGAAAAACATTTGAGTTTTTGTTAAAATGAAAAATGTTTGCTCGCCCTCTGTCGACTCAGGATTAAAAAAAAACTTCGTTAGGAAAATTGGGATTTTTTTTTTACTTTTTAAAATTGCAAATATTGAATTTAAAATATTTTTTGACAGGATGAGGACAGTTCCGAGTGAATTAAAAAAAATATGATCTTTTTCTTAAGTTTTTAAAAAAATAAAAAGAGTTTGAATTAGGCCAGGTTTATTGATTCGAACGGAAAAAGGAAATTACACTTTAGAAGTGAGACTTAGAAAGGAAGGTTTTGTATAACTGAAAAAATTGAAGACCTGTCAATACCGAATAATGTATTTCATGAGGGAAAATTAATGTAGATAAATATTCAAAACTTCATATTTGGTGTGAAATTCATTAATATAGGCTAAAACCAAGTCGAGTTATTTTATCATACGTGTAAACGGTCATAGAATTCAGCCCAATATGTATTCAAAATGTATTTATTAGATTTACAATGTGCAAATTTATATATTTAATCATAACATAAACATTTTAAACGTTTGATTTGATTTCATTTTGTTTTTTATTTGAAAATCTCATGCGTTTTATTAAAAAAATAAATGAATAAATAAGCAGATATTTGATGGTTTTACTTTGAAACCTCAAGAAGAGGTTTTTTTTTTTTTTTTTTTTTTATTTTTTTTTTTATTTTACACTATATTAAGGTTGAGCTATAATTTAAGATCAATTATAGAAAAAAAAACATAGTTGCGACCTGGCTTCAAGTCCATGAACTTAAATGTTAATAAATGTTTAAATGAATTTATGAATATGCAAATACATGGATAAACAATTAAATAATTACATAGGTAATGCGATTGTTAACTCACACTTCACTTACCTTTTGTTTGGTATGCCGTCCAAATATGAGTGATATATAAGTAAAATAGAAATGACGCATCTCGACGTATGTCATTGCTATTTTTACAGATATCATATAAAACCTGTTTTACTTGGTAACTTAATGATGTAAGAAGGTTATGAATAAAGAATACGTTTATCTTCTTCAGCTCCGTGTATTGCGATTAGAAATCGAGCCTGCGACGATACAAACAACGCCTTACTCGGTGACTATAGATGTAGGTTAGTCATTGGCTCTTACCACTGCGACACAAAGGGCGATTTGTTTTTGTTATAAGGAATAAATTCTCGTAAATTAACACACTGAAAATATTTCAAATCTAATTTTTGGTTCTCATTTACAATAACATCGGTTAATATATTCTTGATATATTCTTACTATCTATATATAGTGACATTTTAAACTGAATTTAACCCCACCCCCCTCCCCGCCCTCTTCAATTGATTAACAGGCTATATTAGGTTTTTATGTACAATAATATTTGTTGCGCTTTCCTCGAATTATTTCTAATTATTTAAAACAATGAAATACATTTGAGTTTTTGTTAAAATGAAAAATGTTTGCTCGCCCTCTGTCGACTCAGGATTTAAAAAAAAAATATCTTCGGAAAATGGGGATATTTTTTACTTTTTAGAATTGCAAATATTGAATTTAAAATATTTTTTGACAGGATGAGGGGACAGTTCCGAGTGAATAAAAAAAATATAATCGTTTTCTGAAGCTTTAAAAAAATAAAAAGAGTTTGAATAAGGCCAGGTTTATTGATTCGAACGGAAAAAGGAAATTACACTTTAGAAGTGAGACTTAGTAAGGAAGGTTTTGTATAACTGAAAACAAATGAAGATCTGTCAATACCGATTAATGTATTTCATGAGGGAAAATTAATGTAGATAAATATTCAAAACTTCATATTTGGTGTGAAATTCATTAATATAGGCTAAAACCAAGTCGAGTTATTTCATCATACGTGTAAACGGTCATAGAATTCAGCCCAATATGTATTCAAAATGTGTTTATTAGATTTACAATGTGCAAATTTATATATTTAAGGACGTACAACACACCCACCACCAAAAAATTCCTATCGTTTAATTTTCGCTATTTTTGTATATTTTATACATGACTATATATACAATGTGTATGCACATTTTGGACAAAATCGTTCGCGTCGTATTTGGACAGGAAGTTCCAAAAGTTACCCCCCTTTGGCTGTTCATGCGGAGAATAAATTTCCAATCGGCTAGCTATAAAACTTTGATTTTCAAAAAAGTGCAGCTAGTCTGGCTGTCAAATTTCATCGACTCATTCATTTAAGCATTAACCACACAAATAAAGTATTTTTGTAGAGGTAAACATCGCCAAAATATTTTTCGAAGAACTTAAACTGAAAAACTATGGTTCATTTAAGCCTTGGAAAATGCGTATTTTTCAATTTTAATATTTTTTACGAAAAACACCTATCGTTTAATTTGGGGAATAATACTTTTTTCATGTAACTGGTTACAAAAGTAATCTTGATAATTTTTTGTAATTTTTTTAAACGAGCCGTTTTGAATTTATAGCGAAAAATCCCCCCCCCCTTTCCCCTATAGTCACGTTTCTCAAGCGTCTTTCAGACGTAGGACGAAGAAATTGTTAGATCTACAAACACACATGAAAAATTCCAAGCTATCGTTTGCTTTAAAATAAAAATATTTACATTATATATCAGAGTTCTTAAACTTTTCAGTTCATTGAAATGCAGATGTATAGGCAATTTTTGAAGAAGCCCCCCCCCCCCCATTTTTTTGCACGCTGTCATTAGAGCTTGATGAAACATAGGTTACCCTCGAGATATATATTTAATCTTTTAAATCCCTGAAGTACCAATTAATTAATTCATTCATGCAGATTTAAATTCTGACAACTAGAAAAAGAGTTAAACTATCCACTACTAGAATAAAAGTAAAACTTATTCTCTAAGGATTTTATGTCCACGTGTCCAATATGTAGTCCATACACATGGCTGACATGCATTTAATTCTATACCTGCGTATGAATTCAACTAATGAACTTACATTGAATTTTAATCTTATTTTTCGTTAAAGGTGAACGCACAATGTTGAAAATTCAACTCTTCTATTATGTAAACAGGCTGGTAAATGGAATATATTGTTTCTAATTTATTTCAAACAAGAGAGGGGTCTAAAAGTCCCCCCCCCCCTCTTGTATGCATCCTTCTGTTGCTTCTATAGATAAAATGGAAATTTCGTAGTCGTCTTTATTAACTTCAGTTTATCAAACTGTAAATTCTCCATCTATGTTCAAATTATTCATGTGTCAAAATATTCATGTACATTGATACATGTTTAAAATGTTTTGTTTTGATTCGAGGAAATGCGCACTGAAATTGTTGACAGTGGTAGATCGTAGATCTAGATGGTCGGATATGGCCAGTTTGCCGCATATAAGATATTCATGAATTCGGACCATTTCAATAAACAGTTCTATTACATTTTCGGTACTTACTTAGTATATATTATAGTTTTCAGTTCCTGAGTTCATCAGAATTCATTGTGTCTTCATAACTGTTCGACAAACAGGAGGAAATAACTCAACTAGGGGAGGGCGAAAATCTCCCACATTTTTAGAGTTGTTCCTCTTTGATCAGTGAACAAAACAGTATTTATATCGCTAATTCTTAATTTGAAGATATGCTCGTGATCTGGTAATGCGATTGTTACATAGCCAACTGTAACGAAAGAAAGCATTTATATCATAAAAAGATAAAGAATATTGTTGTGCTTATATTGATCACGGATACGAGTTTCATATAAAATTAAAGAAATTTAAGAGATAATCTTTCTTTTCTTCCCTTTTTAAGGAGGAGGGGCGGGTTTTAAATCAAAAGCGCAAATAATCAATGATACGATTTGGTATTTCTAAAGAAACCACATCAAGCCCCTAATCCCATTTTCTTATAATTACGTCGGGATCGATTCGGTCGTAATTTAGACGATTTATTATAAACGTCAAACTTGACGTCAAGTTAAACGTTTAATTGAAATCGCAAGAGTTATCTCCCCCAGTGTGTTGTACGTCTTTAATCATAACATAAACATTTTAAACGTTTAATATCATTTTGTTTTTTATTTGAAAATCTCATGCGTTTCATTCTAAACAATTAATTAACAAATAAGCAGATATTTAATGGTTTTACTTTGAAACCTCAAGAAGAGTTTTTTTTTTTTTTTTTTTTTTTTTTTTTTTTTTTTTGTATTTTACACTATATTAAGGTTGAGCCATAATTTAAATTCAATTATAGAAAAAAACATATATTTGAGACCTGGCTTCAAGTCCATGAACTTAAATGTTAATAATTGATTAAATGAATTCATGAATATACAAATACATGGATAAACAATTAAATAATTACATAGGTAATGCGATTGTTAACTCACACTTCACTTACCTTTTGTTTGGTATGCCGTCCAAATATGAGTGATATATAAGTAAAATAGAAATGACGCATCTCAACGTATGTCATTGCTTTTTTTACAGATATCATATAAAACCTGTTTTACTTAGTAACTTAATGATGAAAGAAGGTTATGAATAAAGAATACGTTAATCTTCTTCAGCTCCGTGTAAAAAAATCCTTATACAGTAGCATAAATCAGTATAACAAAATAATAAGTGTGATTACAGTAGTGTATAATCAACTTAAGATAGAATACAGGATACAAAAAGATCCAAAAGAAAAAAGAAATAAACTGATTGTTAGGTCTGAACAATTAAGATTGATGCAAAGCAACAAATCGGCGGCAAACAATATTCGCAGCTATGTTAAGGATGCCCGAAGCATTAAATTGCATTCAAAACATGTCATTACATTTCCAGCTCGGTTTTGATTTCAATATAAATTATGAAAGTTAATATAGACCATTTGAACAAACTGACCTCTCACTTACACATGAACACATTTGTTACGCTATCATTTGACCCCCTTGATAACTTGACTGTCACGTGATTTTTTTCAAGGTGTTGCACATAAATCGCTTCAGCGAAAATGTATAACTTCTTTTCTTTTACATTTTTTTTTACACAAATAAAATTATTGTTTCCTAATGTATCCCAAAAGTGCTTTGTACTTGCCATAGTATTATTAGTCTACAAAATTTTTCATAAGAATTTCAGCTTACCCACAAATTTGACAGTATTTTCCATTCTTCGTCGTTATTTATATCAAAGCAAAGCAATTACAATTCCATCCCAAGCAAGATTCAAGAAGAGAAATTTCTCTTATTATAAATTTCCGCAAAAGCTAAAGATAATCCTCATTAATAACTTGTGCCAGACTGATATATGTACACATATACACATTCTACTTCTAACCATGATACTGTAAACGGGAACATTTTAGAATACACATAATTTAAATCTAAAGAAATTTAAGAAAAAGTCGTAATGATTAACAATAATTACACACCCCCAGGCTAAAAATATAGTCAAGACATGAATTTTACACTTAACATGTGCTTTGAAATAAGACGTGAACTTTATGGCACTCTCCCCATCATGATTGTTCAAGCTCTCAGTGACTTGACGTCATATTACATTATGACGTCATATCTTAGAAGTTCAGGGAAGTGACTTCATAAGATGTACTGTGATATTTTTCAAGGAGCCTTAACCTACCCGCGTTACGGCTTTTATTAAAGTACTTTAACAATTAAGCGTTCAAGGAGAGTGAAAGTTTCTTAAAGGCGAAAGAAGAGTGAACATTTTTAAATCAAACTCTCTTCATAAGTATCTCAAATAGCAAGATAAATAGAAACAAAATGTGCTTTGAGTGCATTTATTCGTCAAAATGATTAAACGATATGAAAATCAGCTATGAATAATAAGAATGTATTGTCATCAAAATGAAAATGTAAGTCTATCCATAATCAGATCTCATGGATTTTTGTCACGTGATGATGCCGATGATTTCTGCAGACCATGCGCAGTAATGGACAAGACAATAAATGCGAAGTGTAGGGGGAAAATATCCTTACGTCATTTGCATCTCTAACATATTCAAAACATTTTTACTATTTCTAC